GGGGGGGGGGGGGCAGCTGTCCCCTGGAGCGAGGAGACCCGGACAGTCCTGGCCCAGAGGCCCTTCTGGAGATGCCAGCCTGCCCTCCCCGCCTGGCCTCTGGAGGGCCCCACCTGGGCCTGGTCACGGCAGGGGCTGCCCTCAGGCAAGCAAGCAGGTGCTCGAAGCCATGGCTGAGAAACCAAAGCGCCTTCTCTGGGTTCGTCCCTGGGCTGCAGTAGAGAAACCAGAGACCCGGACTGGCCTTAACCAAAGCCCTGATCAGTGTCGGATTATTATTATCATCTTCTTCTTCTTCTTCTTCTTCTTCTTCTTCTTCTTCTTCTTCTTCTTCTTCTTCTTCTTCTTCTTCTTCTTCTTCTTCTTCTTCTTCTTCTTCTTCTTCTTCTTCTTCCTTCTTCCTTCTTCCTTCTTCTTCTTCTTCTTCTTCTTCTTTTCTTCTTCTTCCTCCTCCTTCCTCCTTCCTCCTTCCTCCTTCCTTCTTCTTCTATTCCTCCTCCTCCTCCTCCTCCTCCTCCTCCTCCTCCTCCTATTTCTTCTATTTCTCCTCCTCCTCCTTTTTTTTCTAACCTGGAAGGGCATTTTATACAGATGGACTGTTTTGGTGGCGTTTTTCTATCTTTCCCTCTCTCGTTTGGACGAGGCTTTTTGTGGTCGCCTCGGCCCCCTTTTACACGTCTCTGTGTCCAGTGCCTTTTCTCCCCTCCCTGGGCCCGTCAGCAGCTGCGCTACCCCCAGCTGTCTCCAGCACAGGAAGGCAGCTTCGGGCGGGGGCGGGGGGGGGTGCTTTTTGGCTGGGCGGGGTGGGGGGGAAGGGGCGCCAGGCCAGCCTTGTTCTTTGGAATTGGGGCAGAGGAGGGGGCTGTAGATAAAATGCCTGTAAAGTTAGCAGCAGATTAACTAGAAGCTTTCATTAAACAAAAAATGGGGAAGGGGGGGGAGAAAATCCTGTATATTTTAACGGAAAATCCTATGAAATGATTGGCTAAAAGTAAAGGACATTTTCTTTCAGCTTTATAAGTTTTGGTACCAGAGAGAACACTAACGTGGACAATGCCGGGAGCTGAGCTGAGGAATGGATGGGGGGGGGCAAGGGGGAGGGTTTAGCTAAGACCGAAAGAGCCCCCCTTCTCTGAGGAGGGGGAGTCCGAGCCCCCTGGAAACACAAGGCCTCTTGGATCCCTGGCTGGAGTTTTGGGTGCTCCAAGCCTTGAGGTCGGAAGGTCGCAGCTGCCCCCTTGGGTTAGGGGGAGCCCTTGACCTCTCAGTGCAGGAGGTCCCTGTGGGAGAGGACAGCTGGGGGGGCGGGGGGGGGCGGCTCTGCTTAGGGTTGACTCGGCTGTGCAGCCTGCCTGGCCCTACTCAGAGTGCAGCTCCGGCTTTGCCCTCAGGGGATCCGGCCTCCCCTGAAAAGGCCCCCAGTAGGGAGGGTGGCAGGAACAAAGGGCACCAGAGGCTATTTCCCCAGTATTATTACCCCCCCCCCCCCTCCCTCCCTCGCGAGGGGAGGTGGGCCATGGCCAGGCTTGGGGGTTTCCCAGCAGGGCTGAAAGGGAGGAGAAGGTGGGCTTCCAGTCTAACCTTCCAGCTCCTCCAGCGAGGCAGCTTCCACCCTTCCTTCCCTTCTCTTCCTGCAGCTGCCCAGAGCCATTTGTGGGGAATGCGTGGAAAGGCCCAAAAGATGCGGGCAGGAGGGGTGGCTTGTCCCCCTGCGTAAGAGGGGCACACCCCTACATCCAGTTCCTTCGTCAGGACCCTCGCCTGTCCTGCTTTGGGACGGGGGGGGGGCCCTGTCAGAGGAGTGGGTCCAGTGGGAAAGAAAGGGGCGCCAACTGGGAGAGTGCCTGCCCTGGCCTCCCTCTGCCAGGAACCCAGTTACGCCAGTTGGCTTCTCCCAAGCCAGGACCGGTTAATGATGGGAACACCCTTGCATGGTCCAGGGATCCTGGTGGGTCTCGGGGAGAACCTTGCATGGAGCTGCAGGAAGAGCGGCGGCGGAGGTCCCCAGCCATCCCGGTCGGGGGCGTCCCCAAAATGCTTCCCAGAAGAGAATGGGACATCCGTCCTTGGCTTCCTCCTCCTGGAAAACACTCCGCTTCTCTCTCGGTTCTGAAGAAACTTCTTGGATGAGAAGCAAGACATTTTTCAAGGAAAAAAACAGGGGGTCCCCTTGCCTTTTGGGGAGGTGGGGGAAGCCCCTCTGGGGCCAGAGATACAGGCGCAAGTCACAAGCCGAATGTCGGGGGGCGAATCAGTCTGTGAAGGTTTGCAGGCATCGCATCCCCCCCCCTTACGGCTGAGCCTTTGGGGGGGGGGTCAGCCCTCTGCCCCGTGTGAAGGAGGAACCTCCCCCACCCCGTGCTTTTGGGGTGCCCCCCTTTTCAAGGAGAGGGTGCTTCTGCTTTGAGGGAGAGGGGAAGGCAGCCATGGGTCTTCTGTGGCAGGAGGAATGGGATCTGCTGGGATCCAGGACAGGATCCACGAGGATCTTAGGGGCTGCACGAGCTCTTCCCCCCCCCCCCCCCCAATGCTGCTGGGGATCCGAGGCTACCTTCCTGCCCTTGGGCACCGCTTCTCCCCCTCCCGTGCTTGCTTGGCTTGGCCATGGGCTGGGGGCGCTGGGGGGGGGGGGGGGGGGGCTGGCCTGAGGAGGAGGAGGAGGCGCCTTCCGGCTGGCCTCTTCCCAGAGCAGAGGGAGGAAGGGGGGTGGGGGGTGCCTGCTGTGAGGCTGGAGAGGAGCGGCTGGGCCCCACTCCTCCCCCCCCAGGCATTCGCCCCCCCCCCCCCCCCCCCCCCCCCCCCCCCCTCAGTTTTTGTGGATTTGCTGGAGGGCAAAATGTGACAAATAAACCTTTATAATCTTCTGTCTCCTCCGCCGTCTTGTACTTCCCATTTACATTTGCAAGAGAAGTTTGGCAGGGGCGGAAAGCTGTGCTGGAGACCACCACCTTCACATGGAGGGCAGTGTGTGTGTGTGTGTTTGTGTGTGTGTGTATACATCTAAATGCCGGGTAATGGGAAATGAATGTGGGCAGGAATGGAGCAGGCAAGTTGGCAACCGGTCTGATTTCTGGGCAGCAGACGGGAGGGAGCCTGGGTGGCCCGAGGCCTTGATTGCAGCCAGGCCCAAGAGAAGCAGTCGGTGGGGGGGTCATCTCCAGGCAGAGGGTGGTTTTCCAGGGCCTCCTGATGTCTGCATCCTTGCAGGTTTCGTCTCGGGAGAGAGCCCAGCTCAAGCGGGGGCCGGCTTTCCGTTAGGGAAGTTCTGGATTCAGTGACCGACATTTTCAGTCAGATCCAGAGGCAACGAAAGTCCCAGGAAAAAAATAAAAAAAAAATTCCTCTCCTGGACAGACCGGTTTTCCTGGGGAATCAAAGACGGAGTGTCCCCTGCTGGTCAAGGGTGGTGGTGCAGGAGGGAGTAAGGAGCCAAGAGGCTGACCCCTTGGACAGAGGAGCAGGGGCTAGCACGGCCCTAGGAGTTACTGGCCACCATAGCGGCGGCGGCAGCTCCGTGTTGGTAGAAAAACTCCCCGTTTCCCTGGTGGTTTGTGGGTTCCTGGGCGTCACGCAGGAAAAGGGAGAGCTGACCACCCCCATGCAGTTCCCGTTGGGAGGGGGCCCATGTGAGCTGAACGTTGGGGGTTGCAACCATGGTTCATGGCTCAGGGGAGGTATAACCCTGGCCATCGTGTTGAAGGGTGCAACCGGGCGTGGCTTTCCTGCAAGCTCTTGGTGCATGCTGGGGACTCTCAGCCCCAGAGGAAGGTTTGGGGCAGGAGGCACTTGGCCAAGATGGACTTTCCCGTTTGAGGGGCTCCATATAAACGAGCTTATGCTAGTAGATGAGTGCATTTTATCGCTGTGAGCGGCCTGCTTGTGATTGCTCTCCCTCTTCATTTTTCCAATCAAGACTACCACCTCAATGAACTTATGAGTTAATAGACTGATAAGATTTGAATCCTGGGCTGCGAAAGCTTTCTTAAACAAGGAGCACTCTTCCTCGGACCTCGCCCGGCTAGTTTTCCCAAACCATTTCTGTAAAGCTTTTGACCCCGGTCCATTTTCAAATCAATATAAATTCACTTACATCATCGCCGCTTGACGCAAAAGAGCTTCTGGTTTTTGTTTTTGTTTTGAAAGGTGAATCATTAACACCTAGAGTTGCCTTTTGTTCCTAAGAGAACCAACCCGGGGCAGCCTGTGGCACTTGCCTGCTGGGTGTTGTGGTTGAACGTTGTTCCTGGACCTGCAACCCGACACGCTTCCACATGAGCGAGCAAGCGCAGCCGTTGGTGCCCAGACCCCTGGCTTTCTCTCACCCTGGAGCCTTTGAACCCAGCTAGAGTGCCAGAAGGCAGGCTGGGGCAGGAAGCTGCTAGAGATAAGACACTCAGGCAGCTGTGCATTGAAAGAGTGTGTGTCCCCCCCCCCGCCCCCCTCCCCCCCCCCCCCCCCCCGGAGAGGAGTGACCACAGCAGCTCCGGGTTTCCCAGCCTGTAGAAACAGCTTTATTGGGCACGTCCAAGATCCTCCAAGTCCCACCTCAAGAAGAAACCGTGTCCCACAGGAGAGCTGGTAGCTCCCCAATTCCATCCCGAGGCTCTAGCGGTCAGTCCCAGGATGTGGGAAGGCTCCGGGTTCCAAGAAGAAAGGCCGCCTCCAAGTTGCTCTCTGCTCCTTGGAGGGCTGTGCGATGCAGGCCCCTGAAACAGATCCCAGCAGCCGCTGCCAGCAAGCGCGAAGGACAGGCTGTTCCCAGAGAAGCATTTGAGAGAGGGAGAGTCCTGCCAAAAGTAGCAGGGGGGGGGGGGGGGGAGGGCAAAGCCCGGGGCTTCTGGACGCTCTCGCCTCACTCGGACAAGAGGCTGTGGATCTTGGTCAGCAGCACATCGGAGCTGGAACCTGCAGGCGGGAGGAGACGGCTGTGAGGGGCTGCGGCTTGCCGGCTTTCCCAGAGGTGAAATCCCCATTTAGGGTCAGCCATGTTCCTTCAACGAGCAGCGAGCCTCACTTGAAGCTTCTCACGGAGAGCAGAATGGAGGAGGCCTCACAATACCCTGATTTCCCCCAAGATGCCGGTCAGGCCCTTTCCCCTGCTCTATACCCTCTTCCTTGGTCGCCTGTGCAGCTGTTATGCGCCAAAGGGGCATTTTGTTCCTATATTACACCGTAGAAATACCCAGTTATCCCAAAATGCCAGCTTTACCTCTCGACTCCTTTTTCCGAGACCATCTTCTGTAAAGAAGAAGAAGATAAAATAATCAGAATTCCATCAAGTGAGCCTCTCTGTTCCCAAGCTCTCTTGGCACCTGGGTGCGCAGCTGGAGAGCAACCAGGGTCTTTCTGATGCGTGTGGCACAGCTGGACCAGGTCATGCGGTGCTCCACCTAAATCAAAGGCCTTCCAGCTTGGCAAGTTTAAGACTTGTGGACTTCAACTCCCAGAACTCCTGAGCTAACATGACTGGAGGAGGTCCCAGAATTCTGGAGGAGGGATTCTGGGAGTTGAAGTCCACAAGTCTTAAAGCTGTCAAGTTTGAACACCCCTGACCTAAATGCACATCAACACTTCCCTCAAAATGACCACAAAAAGACCCATCTGACCAGGGCCAGGTTTTCTCAACTGCGGCAACATTAAGATGTACCCTCTTCAACTCTGGGGATTCTGGGAGTTGAAGTTCACACATTTAAACCGTCCAGGGTGAGACAATGCACTCTGCCCCCCTGAGCAAGATTTCAGTAGGTGCTTCCACCTTCTAGTAGAAAGGCCGACTCTCCAACTGTAGCCCTAACGCCCTTCGGCACATTGGCCAACCTCCAGAATGGTGATGGTAGCAGCACCCCCCCCCCGCTTCCTTGGGAAGATGCAGGCTGGCAGGCTGGGAAAAGCCCCGTTCTCTGACTTGAGAAATTCCTCATCTCGGCTCGCCTGGCACTCACTTCAGCAGCAGGAAAGCCGAGAGAACCAGCAGGAAGGAGGCGCAGTCGGTCACAATCCAGATCATTTGATAGGTGCCACGAGGCTGGGAGAAAGACGGGCGGCCGATCAGGGTGGGCAGCTGCCTGGCTAAGCCCTTTCTGCCAGGGAGCCCGAGCAGGAGCCCCCCACTCACCCCCGGGGGTCTTACCAGCAGCCAGAGGGGGTGCTGCATCTTCTGGAGCACCTGGCAGGCGTTGGTGGTAACCGAAGAAGTCCCAGCACACCAGAGGACGGAGAAGAGCCACGGAGCATTCACCACAAACAGGTTGACTGAGATATTGTTGCGGCGGTATTCCCTGCAGAAGGGGGGGGGGGCGTGCCAATAAAGGGGGGGTCAGTACCAGCCCATAATAGCACAGTTTGCACGGAAGGCCTGAGGAAGGCTGCAGCTGCATCCCAGCCTCTGGGAGGTCGAAGCCTCCCTGGGCAACAAGGACCTGAAGACGACACAGTCTTTTTGCTGGTGGCTTTGCAGCTTTTTCTATGGAGGGTTATTGAGGGGGGGGGGGGTGGAGGGACGTTACGTTGAGCCCCCTGCTCTGCTTGAGCCCCCCCATCCCGTTTTTCAGTTTGGGAGGAGTGGGCTTCCGAGAGCTTTGCTTTCCGCACCCCACCCATTTCCCAACGGTCTGCCTTCATAAAACGGAGCTGGGGCCGAAAAACGCAGTTGTATAAACCGCCCCTCAGGTGTGCCCAGGATGTGCCCTGGCCTGGCCAAGAAAGAGCCCCCCTCCCTCCCCAGCCCCCCAGCTCTAACCTGATTAATGTGCTGCTCAGTTTTTGGTAAGCCAGGTTGACTCGCGGGAGCCTCCTGGTCTTGTTGTCCAAACTTTCGGGGCCATAGATTTGCTGGAACCTGGGTGCCCACAGTCTCACCTCCTCCCGAAACTTATCAGGCAGCCATAGGATCTGGGTTGGGGGAGAGAGAGGGTGTAGCAGGGCCCACTCGCCGTTCGTAGGGCCAGGAGTATCTCCAGGTCTAGAACCACAGTGGCCCTAGAACTGAGATACGCCTAAGGCAGGCGGGCGTGGCTCCGATTATTTGGATCTGGAATGGATCTGACTTCCGTCAGGTTCCTTTTCGGGACCCCTGATTGGAGAGGGCAGGTAGCGCAAGATGGTCCCAAAGTCACATTTTCAAGGGGAACCAAATTGCCCTTTTCTCCAGCCTCATAAGTCTCCGCATGTTTGGGTTCTGTTGTGGTTCGCCTGCAGCAGGTATGGATGGCTGAGGTCTTGGAGAGCGAGGACTCGGATGAAGGGCCTGCGTGTGAGGCAGGGATGGGGCCAGGACCCTCAGGGAGTGGAGTGCTGCCTTTGGAGCTTGTGGAGGCTGGCAGCAGTGATGAAGAGGACCCCGAGGAGCCTGTGCCCAGCGCATGTGTGCGCAGGGCTGCTCAAAGGAAAGAGCAGTGCAGCAGCACGGGCAACTCGGGAGTAAGGCTGCAAGGTGATGGCCCCTCCCTTAAGGGATAAAAGCCAGCCCTCAGAGGTGGGATTCTTTGCAGGAAGCAAAGAAGTTCTTGCACTTCAAGTCTTGTGGAAGTTCGGACTATCCTGGTTTGTGTCTGGAGACTTTTGGTTTTGATTATTTCCTTGCAATTTAATCTAGTGTTCTGGGCAGCCTTGCACAACCTTGGCAAGGTTTGTTCTTATCTGGGACAATTAGTTTTAATTGCGTTTTACTGTGAATGAACGGAATTCACAGAGAAGCATTCAAGAGGTTTTGCTTTTATCTCCGTTTGGTGGGGTTTGTTTGCTTGGAACGAGGCTTGGGTCAAAACAGGTCCTGCTTAGACGGTGCACTTGCCTTTCTCGCCACAGGGAAACTCACCAGCTGTTGGTCGATGCCCGACTGGAGGATGGTCTCCACTGTGATGTTGACCAGGCGCTCGTAGTGGGGGTCTTCCAGCGGCAACAGGTCAAACATGACAGACACCTGGTGCCTCCTGGCCTCCGCCAGCAGCTCCTTCAGAGACGGAATGCGCTGCCTCCTGGCCTGGGCCATCCCTTCCTCTGAAAGGCTCCAGGCTGTGGGGAAGGGATGCTTCTGGTAGAGGAAAGGGAGGCGGTGAGCCCAGCGGCTGCACAGCAGCCCCGGCTAAACCATGTCCTGCGGTTGGGTGGGCTGCTTTCCCTCCATTTTCCGACTCTCCATGCAAATCCAGCTTCTCGGAATGTGTATGAGGTTGTCCCACCAGGGAAGAGGTTTAAACTTTCCCTTCCATTAGTCCTGACGCCCCCAAGATGCATGTCCGTTTCTGACTGGAAGGACAGGTGGGTTTGCCAGAGGGGAGATCTCCCCCTCCCCAATTGTTAGGTGCGAGTAGCCAGATTGCTATCAGTGGGAGAAGAAGGGGCCCTGCGACTCCCGGAGGCCAAGAGTTAAGAAGAGCACGGAAGGTCCTTCCCCTGGTGAGGGTGAGGACTCAGGCCCTGCTCCATCCCCTATCAGCCACCCTCCCCAGACTCCAAGGGGTTTCACCTCAGCCAAATCCAGATGAGCGAGCCAGATGTTCAGCACAACCTAATCCTAGCCAGGCCTTGCGTGGATCAAGGGGCCCCATCCTGCTCTCACCTGCAAAAACCAGCTGCCAGCGTCCAACTGCTGCAGCTGCGTCCAGTTGAAGGCCGTGGCCTTGGCGTGGCTGTGGGTGGGGAAGACCTCCTGCACATTTGTGGTCCGCAGGAGGGTCTCGTCGTGCAGGAGGAAAGGGATCCCGTCGGCACTGGGAGTGGGAAAGGAAGGAAAGGCCTGGATCCTGGACCTTCCCTTCCTGGGTGGGTGGGGCATGAGGGAGCCCACCCTTCCAGCAGGGCCACTGAGGCTCGGCCCGTCTCTTACCTCACCCGGACATCCGTTTCTAAGACGCTCAGGCCACAGTTGAGCGCCTTCTGGAAGGACATCATGGTGTTCTCTGGTGCCAGCTGGAGAGGGGGGGAGGGGGAGGTGAAGCAGGAGGGTTTGGGACCCCCGACCCCCCCCCCACCCAGAAGGGGTTCCACGCATCCTCTTGCAGCTGGAACAATTCTGGTAGCTCGGAGGGTTCTTAGGAAGAAGAGGTGGACCTGGGACGTCTTCCTAGTGTCTTACCGAGTTGGAAGGGGCCCTGGAGGTCTTCTAGTCCAACCCCCCCTTGCACGAGGAGAAGAACCCACACCGTTTAATCCAAGAGGAAAAAGCAGAGAAATCCCAGCAAGGCTAAGCTGTGAAAGTCAGCCGCCGCCGCCGCCGCTGCTGCTGTTTTAAGGACACACCTGCCTTGGTGGGAAGCGGAGGGGCAGGGACTCACCATGGGAGCCCCGCGGTGCCCAAACAGAGCCGGTTTGGGAGGGAGCTGGCTCTGCTCCAGGAAGCAGGGCGAGTCGATGCCCAGGGGGGCCAGGTATAAAGCCAGCATTGCGCCCAGATACAAGACCAGGATGACGCCCCGGAGAGCTGCAGCGAAACAAATGGAAGAAGGCCCAAAGCAGTCCGTGGGGGCCCTTGGTCCCCTTGAAGGCAGCTACTGGACCCCCATCAGCCAATCATGAGAGCCGACTGCTCTTCCTCTCTCCATTCATCCTAGGGATCTTTGCTCCCTGCCCAGATCCCCAGTGTGGGAGGGTGGGCAGAAGGCCTCCAGTACCTCAACTGGATTCCAAACCAGGGCAGCCCCAACAGGAGGCTGGCCAGACTCTGAGTGAACGCATGCAGCCAAGGGCAGCGCACTGCCTCCCCCTGGAATTCGCCCCAGGTGTCCTGCTCTGGCGCTCAGGAAGGCTTTCCCGGCATCTGGCTGGAATACGCCAGCCCACAACGTGGGGCGGCTGTTTCTCTCCCTCAATGCTGTCCCGACAGGAAGCAGCTCCACCACACACGTGGGGACCCTCCATCCGAGACCCCCAACTTCCAGGCATCGTTTTAACAGCTCAGGAAGGAAGGAGCTGTGCCTGAGTGTTAGGGTTCCGGTATCCACATTCACCTTGGAACAGGTGTCCAAGGGCTGAGCCCCAACCGGGCTTTCCTAAGGAACCACCCTCCTTGTCCCCACCCACAGTACCTGCGTGGGAGATGCGGTAGAAGCAGGTTGCTACTGGCCAGGCAAGCATCGTCAAGCCCGCCACAGCTCCAATGTGCAGGAAGGGGCCAGTCGCCTGGCAGGAGACAATTCAAGGAGGTTGGCCTTTCCACGGGAGCCCAGTTGGCCCCAAGGGGAGGCTGGCCCCAAGGCGCCACAGTTCAGAAGCTCTGAGTCCTCCCAGGATTAGGGAGAAGGGCAGCTGGGTCAGGAGGGGGCTCCACCCCGCCCCCCACTCCCAGAAGGAAAAGCCACAACATCCCTTGGATTTGGCAAATGGAGTCCTTCCGGAATCCCCCCTCCGGCTGCTGCTCTCCATCCACCAGAACCTCTTTCATTTCCTGGCCTTTTTGGTCCCCACACAAGGATTTACGGTCCTGTGGCAAGGCACACCTGTCCTGGAGAGTCTTCCCTGCTAAATGACGGGCAGTTGTCTATCACTGAGTGCCCCCAGCCTGCCAATTTCATGGAGCCAAAGGTCTGACCATTAGCCCCAAAGGGGGCTCATCCGGACCTCGGATATGCCCACCTGATGGCTGCCCAGCCTCCATTCTCTGGGGCCCCAACTGGGCACCTCTCCCTGTAGGAGAGGCTAAGTCACCTGCTGCAGCTCAGCCAGCAGGTGGGACAAGAACAGAATCACAGAGTCAGGAGGGACCTTGGTGATCATCTAGTCCAACCCCCTGCTCAAGCTGGAGACCCTACACCATTTCAGGCAAATGGATGCATAATCTATTTTTGAAAACTTCCAATGTTGGAGCACCTACAATCTCTGTAGGCAAGTTATTCCACTGGTTAATAAAGAAATTTCTCCTGACTTCCGGTTTGGGCTTCTTCAGCGACGGACCGAATTCCGTGGTCGTGCGCAGTTTCGATTCATGCTCGCTGCTGGGGCACCCCAAGCCGTAGAGGTGGTGAAGAGGGGGGAGACCGCCAGCAGAGTTGAGGAGAGCTGCATCTCTCCTCCTCAGCTGGCCATTACTCCCTTTCCCGAAGGCGGTGCAGTGGTGGTCAGAAATGGCCACCTCAAAGAAGAATTCGACCGGACAAGATTGTGCAGGAGGAAGATAAAAAGAGAAAGCTTTGACTGACCGGGTTGAACTGAGAAAGCAACAACACAAGGTACCCTGGAATTTGAATTATAAAGAGTAACATTGTTCCCAAAGAAGATTTTTGAAGCGACGAAGTAGAGAGGGAAGGGAAAAGATTTGGTTTTTTTCCTTTTCTCATCCGTTGCTTCTTGTCCTGCCTTCAGGTGCTTTGGAGAATAGCTTGACCCCCTCCTCTTCTTTGGGGCAACCCCTCAAATATTGGAAGACATCTATCCTGTCTCTCCTCTAATCTTTTCTTTTCATTATACTAGACACACCCAATTCCTGCAACCATTCCCCAGACGGTTTAGCCTCCAGTCCCTAACAGAGGGGGAGCAGAGAACAGAACAGAGCTGGACGGACAACTCTGCATGGGGCTCAGCTTAAAGCAGTGAAGGGCAGCCCTGGGCTTCTCTCGGGGCCCCTACCTGTAGGGCAATGTGGGCGCTCTCCCACTGCTCTGACCACTGAAGTTTCAGCCCCACAAAAGCAGCCACTACAATCAGCAGAGTCAGGATCAGGAGGCCCTGGAAGAAACAGAGAAGGCGCCTTCAAGGCCCAGGAAGTCACCCAAAGAACCTCTGTCCAGGAAGGAAACGTGGCCCTCGGTGGGCAAGACCTGCTGGTGTGGATTGGCAAGGGACGCTCAAGCGGAGGGCCTCCCAGGGAGGCCTCAGAAGCCTCCTGCCCGTGGGAAGGAAAGGAGGCAAGCAGGAGATTGTGGTCTTACCTTGTGGAGCCAATGCAGCTTCAGGGGCTGATGGCAGAGCTGGAGGCAGAGTGCCAACACCTGGGACGCACAGGAAAGAAAACAGCTGCTTGGGGTAAGAAAACTTTGAGGAGGGCAGGACAGGATGTCCCCGCTTGGAAAGACCCTGAACTGAGGGGGAGTTCATGCAAATCTCACCCTTCTGGATGTGTCGGACCACCCAGTTCCCTCAATCCCAGGTAGTCCGATCAAGGTGGGTGAAGATTATCCCACACCCCCAGAAAGGGAAACGTGTAGCTCTGACTTACAAAACGGGCATCCCTTTTCTTGCCTGCCTATTTTACTCTCCAAGCCAGAGATGCCCAAATGCCAACCTCTCCCTTCTTCTGTCTTCTGGGGTGTGTGTGTGTGTGTTGCCCACCTAATACTGGCCACTTTGAACTGGAGAACTGTGGCTGGTCCATTCTTCAGAGTGAACCGGTGTTCCATTGTGCCAGTATAATGTCAGCCTCTCGATATGGCAAGAGTTTATTCTGTTAGATCAGAGGTCTCCAAACGTGGCAACTTTAAGAATTGTGGAGCTGGCCGCACAATTCTGGGAGTTGAAGTCCACAAGTCTTAAAGTTGCCAAGTTTGGAGACCTCCGTGTTAGATGCTGCTGCAACACTCCTCCCCCCTCTCCCTCCCCATGAACCGCAGAGTCCAAATTGGGGGGCAGAATTTAGTTTATAGCATAGAGATATCCTGAAGACCCTCCCATACCGCCAGCAAGAGGGGAGGGGCGATACAGAAACCCCCAGAACCAGGGAGCTTCACCCCCTAACCAGGGCAAAGTCGGGCCAGGAAGGGAGGGGGGTATGAAAGATGAAGGGAGAGGAGGCCTACCATGAGCAGAGAGGAGTAGGTGACCAGCGTGGCTGTCACACACAGCATCACCACTGACCAGTCCAGCCACCATTCTGTCTTCTGGAAGATGAACCTGTGCAGGGTGGGGGAGGGGAAGGAGGGCGGGTAAAGCTTACCCAAAGGTCAGAAAGGGGCACAATGGAGGCACGGGGGGGGGGGGGGGGGGGGGGGGGGGGCTCAAAGGACACTGCCAGGTTGGGACACCCCCCCAGGGGGGCTCAGGGGGAGGAGCCAATCCCCCCCAGCCAATCCCATAAGCCTCATCCCCCCCTTGGCTACGGGAGGGGGGAAGAAAGATGCCACACCCCAGGAGGGAGGACGCACCCTCAGCCCTTGAGTGCTTTCCACGCAGACCAAGAGGGTTAACTAATGCCCGGCTTATTTGGGGGGGGGGGGGTCTGCAGCCCATCCCCAGAGGGACAGGGACAAGGCGTGGGCCTTCTGCCATGCCTCCCAGGGACTCCTGTAAGGGCACACACACCTTGCTCGTCTTCAGGCTCTTCTTGTGGGTCCAGTGGCAGCCGAACAGCCCCAGCAGGCAGGTGGTGCAGAACTGCTGGCAGCCCCCATTCCTCTTCGCCATGGCCGGTCGCGTCTTGGCGAGGGGCAGCCCCACCCTGCAAGGGGAAGCAGGCAGGCAGGCGGTTCGGGGGAGAGCCTGGCGGGAGGGGAAGGAAGGAGACGCCACCTCATCCCCAACTGCAGGGGCCGTCTGAGCAGGAGGCGCGTTCAGCAAGATCCCCTGACTCATCCGGCAGGCTCCCAGAGGAGGCCGATCCCAACCAGGCACGGAAACCTGCACAACCTGGCCAGGTGAGCCCTGCCCGGCCATCCCACCCCAAGGCTGCAGGTTGGGGCAAGCCCGCAATGCATGGAGGCACTTTGGAAAGCCGTTTAACCCGCCATCTTCTCCCAGGTGGGGAGAAGGGAAAAGGGAAGGGAAGAGCTCCCACCGAGAGTCTGGCTGGGGGGGGGGCAGCCTTTGGCGAGGGGGGACATGATGATGCCCTCAAAGGAAGGCCAGGCGTCTCCCTTGCCCTGCCCAGGAGGGGAGGGGAGGCGGGGAGGGGCCTCCCTGCTGTGCCCCAAACACAGCTGCTTTAGTCCCCTGCCTCTCTTGTCTGGAACCAGACGATTAAGGTTGGATTATTGGAGAATTATATATTATTTCAAGTGTTAAATTTAGGGCAAAGATATAAAGGGGTCATACTTCAATTAGTGATTACAGGAGAAATATTGTGTTAATGAGAAAAGAAAAATAGATGATTGAAACAGAACGGACAAAAGATATCAGTATAATGATCTAAATCGAGATGAAATAAATAAAATAGAATTAAGAGAGTGAAAAGAGGGGAGAAGCCATATAGAAAATATAGAATGGTAAATAAGATATGAAATGGTATATAAAGTGAGCATGAACTTGATTTATGTCTGTACCAAAAGATGTAACCCGGGACTAGGCCGCTTTCCAAAAAGAAGTTTTATGTTTTTTATGTTTTGTGTTTTGTCTGTGTATGTTTGTTTATTGAAAATTAATAAAACTCATTTAAAAAAAAAAAAGACTGGATTTTTGCTGAGATGAACTCTCGAAGCAAGTTAGCAACATGGATGGATTCTTTTTCCCCATCCAGAGATTAAAACTAGCAGGACTGAAAACGGCTCTACGGGCAGGATGGTGCTGCTGAGACCAGACCAGGCCGCCTCCTGCTTTGCTGCAGTGTGCAAACGGTGGTCTTGAAACCACGATGGATGCTAATTAAATTCTGCCCAAGTTGCAGAGGACTGAAACGTGCCCTATGTATGCAGCCCCCGCTCTAAGGCAGGGGCCTCCGAACATGGCAATTTAAAGACTTGCAGGCTTCAACTCCCAGAATTCCCCAGCCAGGATGTCTTGGCAATGGCTGGCTGGGGAATTCTGGGAGTTGAAGCCCGCAAGTCTTTAAATTGCCAAGTTTGGAGGCCCCTGCACTGAGGCCTTCAAGTCAGAGGCATGAATGCCAGTCCTGTCCACAGCACCAGAAAAGTGGGCAACCTCCCCCCCGCCTCCTATCCCCCTCCCCTCTGCCCCTGGGCCTTTGCCCATTTGCCCCAAATGGCCTCCTCGGTGTTGCTCCATCTCAAAGCAGCCCCCATCCTCCTCAGCCCCCAGCAACTGAAGCAGCCTTGCCCCCCCCATTCACCCAACACCCTCCAAGGGCAGATTTGGGGCAGCAATGGGAGGCGTCTGCCCCTCCTCTTGCAGAGGCAGATGGGCCTGTTAGGAGGGCAAGGGGGGTGGGTTGTTTGCTGACGCTGAGGGCAGCCCTGCTCAGCAGTGAGGAAGCCCCCACCATCCTTCCATCTCCCAGATTGCAGACCCCCCCACCGCCCACCGCTTGGGGAAGTTCCATGGATGAAAAGCGAGGGACCCCTCAAACCCTACAGGTGCTGCATGGGCCAAGAAGGGGGTCAGAAGGGGGGCACAGCAGCAGCAGCAGCAGCAGCATTCTTCCCACGGAAGGACCCCCCTTCAAGGACCGCGCCACAAAAGCATTTGCAGCCCCCCCCCCCCCCCCCCCCCCCCGGGCCTAGACCCCGGGACGGGGGGTGATGGCGCCCACCCAGGGGTCCGGCCTTGGTGCCCGAGGGGAGCGGAACGGGGGGCTGGGAAAGGGCGGGGGGGGGGAGAAGTTGGCTCTGCAACTCGAAAGCGGCCGCCGCCTCCGTGCGAAACGATACTCTTGCAATGCTGGGATTTGTTTTCTTAATTGGGGGTGGGAAACACCCTCTTGGCTCCCCCCCCCGCGACTATATAGACACTTGGCGGGAGCCCAGCCGCCTCGCTGCAAGAACCCTCGCGCACTTTGGTTGGGGGGGGGGCTGCAGCCTGGGCGAACAAAGCTCGCTCTCCCCGGAAGAAGCGCCGCTCGGGGCTACTTTCTTGGGCCTTTTCAAAAACTTCTCCCGAACTTCCCAAACTTTACCTTTCTGCGGAGAGGAACCAGCTGGGATCCGACCTGAGTCGCCTCTGCGGCGGCCAGGTAGGCGGCTCTTCCCTCCCTGGTCCCGGTGCGGGCCAGGCGCTCTTCGTGGCGTAACCGCGACTTTGGGAACGTGAGCAAACTCCCGATTTTCTCCGGGAGAGCCGGAGGGAGGAGGAGCCGCGCCGCTTCCCTCCGAAGAGAGAAACCGGGGAGCGAAACTTTCCCACCGGATCCCAACGGCTGCTGGGTCGCCTCGGCCAGTTAAGCGGGACGGGAGAGCCACGCGACCCCCCAAAGGCTCCGAAGGGAGCCCCGGCCCCCTTCGCTCCCCCCCCCTCCTGCCCCCGTCCCCGCAGCCCCTTCGCCCCTGAAGGTCCCCTGGGGAAGCGGCCGCTTCGCCTCCTCCCTTGGGCGCGCCTGTCGCTCAGCCGACGCCTCCCAGGTCACTCACCTTGGCCAAGCTTCCAGTCCTCGTGGAGGGCGTGGGGGGGGGGGACTCGGCTTCCCTTTTCGCGCTGCGCTTTTGCTGGCTGCCGTCGGCTCCCTCTTCCTCCTCCTCTTCCTGTCCTGCTCTCACCTGCGGGGCGCCTGGCTTGGCACCCCACTTGGGTGCCGCCTCGACTCTGTGTGTGTGTGTGTGTGTGTGTGTTCCTCCCGTTTGGAGCTCAGCCGCGCGAACTTGCAAGGCTGGGTTACGATCACAATAATAAAGCTATTTTATCTACCTGTTGCTGCCGGTCATGCAGGAAACGATAAGCGGCCTTGTGGCTCTTGGCAGCCCTTCAGCCCCCGCGCGGGGATTGCGGGGCAGCTTCTGCTCCATTCGGGGGTTCCCACGGAGTGCATCGCACAACAGGATACCCCTCCCTCCAGGTCACTCTTGTTCTCTTTTGGAGCGGGTAATTTTACCCCGCATGGAAAAGTAAACTAAAAAAGTTGAAAAGCACCAAGACAAAGAAAAGAAAGGATGGCCCCTGTTTAGATCAGCCCATCAGCCCCTACATCTTGTCTCCCCTTTTTCTTGACCCTTCTCCCTTCTCCTCTCTCTCCTCTCTCTCCCTTCTCCCCCTCTCTCTCCACCCCCTCCCTCTCTCTCCCACTCCCACTGTCTCCCGGTCTCTGTGTGTTTCCTCTGGACTAGTTGTTCCCTGGAGTGTGTGTGTGTGTGTCAAGGCCAGTTTCTTCAGGAGCGCTGCTGTGTCACTCAGGCAGAATCCGACTGTTTGCTAGAAGGGATTCCCTCTTGTTTGGCCTCGCCTAACCCTGCCCTGGGAGGCTTCAGGCAAATAGGTGGGGTGGAGGAACCTGCTTGCCTATTTGAACTGTTTACATGCCGTCTTTCTCTTTGGAAACATCTAAGGTGGTTCCCCATTGCCTCTTGCACGATAGAAGCCTGTGGCCCTTGCAAAGGTGTGGGGTGGAGGAGGCCATGGGGCTGGAGTCCCCCCCCCAATTTGGCTGAGCACAGGTGCAGACCAGCTCCTGTGCATTGCAGGTGGCTGTAGCACATTGTGTGACCCCAACCCCTTCCACAGACTCTACAGGTAAATAAGCCAAAGCGAGATGGGAGGTAGGTAGGTCGGATCTCTTATTCCTCAACCAACCACCTCCATTGCACTGCTCCCCCACTGGGGCCCAAACTGACTGGCAGAGCCATACCTGGGAAAAGATAGGAGGGTTGGGGCCGACCTCACACAGGTAGGGGGGCGGATGTCCCAGAGGGCAGGAGCAGCAACAGAGAAGGCCTTCTTCTGGACCCTGCAGGCCAGAATAATTGGGCTGACGGGACCCACAGCATACCTCCTCTGCCAGCAGGAGTGGGACAGGCCAATCCCATGGCCTGGTGAGAGGGTCCCTCCAGTAGCCAGGACCTCTGCCAGGAAGTCACCAACGCCCACTCATACTCGCCTCTTCCTTCAAAAGGAGCCTCTCCCTTTAAGACCAGCCGGTAGAATCAATTAAGCCAGGCCCCCCCCAACTTGGCCACTTTAAGACCTGTGGACTTCAACTCCCAGAATTCTCCAGCCAGCTGGCTGGAGAATTCTGGGAGTTGAAGTCCACACGTCTTAAAGTGGCCAAGTTTGGAGACCTCTGAATTAAGGCAAGGAGTTTGTGATGCAGGCACCCACCCTCCCTGGGATAGAAATGCAGCTCCAATAGAAGAGGCGACTTTTCCCAAAGTTATCTAGCCTGGTAACAAAACGTTTGGAAGCTAAACAGCAAATTTGGAGAACAATCCACCGCCAATGCCATTCTTCCCTGCATTTTATGGGGTGTCATTTCCCTCTCTGCAGCTTTTCCATGAGGAGACACGAAGTGTGAGGTGGAAAATGTCTTCATCTTTATCCCACAAGATGATCACATGTTTTTCTTGGGTTCAGGGGACATTTAATACCTTCGCCTGTTCTGGTTGTTGTTGTTTTGCAAATAAGGAAGGGAAGCTTTGCTTCCATAGGCCAGCAGGGGGCACCGAAGAGCCTTCATCTCTAGCAAGGGCTTGGAAAAAAACGAGGAAGCTTCTCCCAGACCCCCAAGGATCCTGCGTTGAAGTTGGGGGGGGGGGGGGGGGGAAAGGGGCGCAGGAGCCCTTCTTCGCCTTGCCTGCTTCCAGGGGCTATGAACCCCCAACTGGGTCTTTCTGGTCCCTGCAGGGTTGGCTTTGCCTTTTCTCAGTTGGATCTCCGTCCCACAAGGGGCAGTTGGGGAGGTGGAAGGAGGTTGGATGATGCAGTCAGCTGCGAGGGGTCCCTGGTGGCTCCCAACTCAAGAAAACTTTGCGTGATCTGGTGGTCTTAGGCCAGGGGTCCCCAACCTTGGCCACTTTTAGACTTGTGGACTTCAAGTCCCAGAATTCCCCAGCCAGCAAAGCAAAGCAAAGCTGGCTGAGGAATTCTGGGAGGTGAAGTCCACAAGTCTTAAAGTTGCCAAGGTTGGAGACCCCTGTTTCAGACAGTCCCAGATCAGGCGCCCATTTTCTTTGACTTGGAAAGGGGGTGGATAAAGTGAGGGCCCTGGAGGAACTGGGCTATTGGGCCCCTGGCAGGGTGGAAACTGGTGCTCCTTGTGGAGGATGGTAGGAGAGACTGAGATCAGAGACGGCAACCTTCTGGTCTGGGTGGGAGGGAAGGGCCCAACTGAACCCCTCTGAGGCAGAGCGACTTGGCGTGGGTGGGACTAGCAGTTCCCAAGAAATCCTTCCTTGGCTTCTGAAAGGGAGGGGTCACCCCCTCCCTTCTTCCAGAGGTGCCCTGCAGCTTCTCCCGGGGTTCCAGCGCCTGCTTGAAGAGCAGGTAGCAGCTTCCAGGAGAGCTTCGGTGCCTACCTGGATCCAGGCCGAGCACCCTCTGCCACTGGGAGGGTTGGCGGAGTCGGCATCCGTGCCCCAGGGAGGGTCCTGCTTCTGCTCGGTCCCCTGCACGGCAAGAGGACGTTTCTCCAGGACAAGATCTCGAGGCGCATCGTCTTCCTTTTCTGGGAAATTCCCCTCGTTCCCCCAGGGACGACAGGGGCATCTGCTGGGAAGGGGACGCAGGTCAGCCAAGGTGGGGCTTCTGTTGCACGGTTGAGACCCCCCCTTCATTTTTTTGATCACCTCACAGACACCCCTGAGAGCCACAGGAGTGGACGCCTTTCGACATCAAGCAGCTGCAGCCCGTTGGAGAGAAAATCCGTGTGTAATCGACCACAGAGGCCTCCCACCTTGGCAACTTTAAGCCTTCAACTCCCAGGAAAGCTGGCTGGGGAATTCTGGGAGTTGAAGTCCTCCAGGCTTAAAGTTGCCAGGGTTGGAGACCCCTGATCTACAACTCCAAGACTGCTGGGCTGAGCCGTCAGGGGTCGCAGAGACCACTCTGACCCCCGAGCGGGGCTTGTGGTCCCGTGTTCGGGACGGCTCTAAGGGCGTCCAGGGATGGCCTCCCAAGTGCAGCTCTTCCTCTGTGGCCGGTGAAGGGAACCACTTCTGCCCGATGCGAAAGCCTCCTGCTCGTAATATGTTTTATGGTCAGTTTCACGGTGAATTCTGGCAGCCGTAGAATGGCTCCCTTGCCCACGACTATAAGAAACATTTTATCTATTTATCCTTGCAGGACCTGGAGGGCAATATTGACCCACTGGGTGCCATCTGTGGCATCGTAAAACCCTGATCCTGGCGGAGATGCTCCGGCTGGAGCAGCTGGAGAGAGGAGGAAGAGGGGGAGGCTGTTGAGACCAGGGCTGGAGGCCCAAGACTGCAGGCAGAGCTGGCAGAAGGGTAGCCTATTCATTCAGGTGGCCAGAAGACTTTGGAGCAACTCGGCACCCCAGAGGAATCCATCCGTGGGAGGGAGAGAAGCGACTGACTCTTTATCTGGCCTGCTCAGCTCATCGTTTAACTGAGCTCCTCCTCGTGTGGAATCCCCAAAGTAGAAAGGGAGAGGACGCCCGGCTGCCAAGAGCAGAGCGACGGGGCTGAGATCCAAGGCCAAGAACCGAAATGCGGATGGTGGCAATTCAAGACTGGAGGGTAAGGAACGTACACCGAAGGACGGTGTGGTTTTTCCCGGCAAGGATGGGAGGGTCTTCCTCGCAGATCCGCTGGGCCAAGGGCTTTCCAAGGCTCCCTCCAGGTGGACCGAGAAGACTTGGTGGACTCTTCGCTCACCGGAAGGCTTTCTTGGGTTTTAGAAGCCCAGGTTCTTCCAGGGCCCGAGAGCCCAAGAAACGTTCTTCTAAGCAGAAGGAAACATCAGCGCCGGCCATGACAGGACCAGGTCCAAGTGCTGGAGCCGAGGGGAGCCTCCTGTTCTCTCCTGGGCTTTGCTGAGCCTCTTCCTGCCTTCCTGAAATGGGCAATGGAGATCCTTCAGTGAATCACTGCGGGGCCCTTGGGTGGATCCTGGAGCATCCCTTCCCTGCCATCAATCTCCATGTTACGAAGCTCTCTGGTGCCTCTGTTACCTTGGGGCGTGGCTTGGTCCTGTGGTTGTGGCCCCCTGCACACCTCCCCTCCATCCCACTGGTCTGGAGGCCATCGCAAGGCCGTTGGGGGCCGTTTCCAATCTGGCCTTGGCTGAAGCTTGTTTCTGCCGGCTGGATAGGCGGCCTCCATGTGCCCCAGGGCTCAGGAAGGAGATGATGCCTAAACATTCTTCATCCGGGAGGAGGAGGAGGAGGAGGAGATAAAATGGCCCCAAGATTACTTAGCTGCATCTCATGTCTAAAAGCAGCGCTGCAGAAGGAGGCTTGATGATAATGGCAAAGCGTAATTCCCCTCCCAAGGTCTGCGGAGTGCTGGGCATTTCCGTACTTTAAAGAGAGA